CCCCCCCACCATAGAATCTTTGAGTTAAACCAAGTGAAGATTTCTTTTATGTGACTTATACTGGTAACATCATTCATGGTGATGCTTATTTTTGCATGCATTTGATGATCAGAAAAATTTACTTTTACTTATAAAATAAAAGATTGTTGACTCTTTTTGTTTGTTATATTTTAGGGGGGAGGTAATGGGGGGGTCTAGGTAATTAGGTTTATATATTTATTTTTAATGGAGGCACTGGGGATTGAACTGAGGACCTCAGGCATGCTAGGCATACACTCTGTCACTGAGCTATAGCCTCCCCTTGAACTGTCTTTCATGTACCTCAAATGTTTTGAAATAAGTTTTCAAAAAACACTGCTTATTGAATTGTCAGGCAGCAGTTGTGACCCAGGCAGACGGACACCACCACAGTGAAGTCTTTGCTTCCATTTCTCCCCAAAGGGCGGGACTGGTTAAATCTAAGAATTAATATACATGTGAAGATTTTTTTTCTTTTTAATTTCCTCAAATTTATTAATTTGGGCAGTTTTCCCAGGATTTTTCATGTAGTCTTGATTCATTTATTCTGCGTATTTATTGAACCACTAGTGTTTGTACCAGGCATTGACATGTTGTATGAGCTCCTAATCTTTGCAGAGTTTTGAGAATTACAGTTTTTTTCCCATCTAACTGACCTTTGATTATTGTTATAGGAAAAATGATTATTGCCTTCTCTATTTTTATAAAATGTATTTCATAGATTATGTAAAGTACTTTTGCATTTTAAAGGATAATTAAAAGTTATTGAAGTACATTTTATTTTGTTTCTAAATTTGTGTTGAAACAAAGGCCATTATTAGCCATTAAATTTTTTTCTTTATATTTTCTTTATTTTTTTTTCAGAAGTATTGATTTGAGAAGTTTGTGTGTGTGTGTGAAGTTTTCTTGTTAATCAATTTTCTGGATACATGACCTTTGGGATTTGTATTATACTAGTCCATAATTTTTTGACGTTTCATATGGGTGAATTACTTGAAGGAACTTTAGTGTATTTTCACCTTTCCTCTTTGTAATTCTAATTAGCTCTAATAAGCTTTACTGTTATAAAGTATACATTTTAATAAAATTTATTTTATATCCCCTTTATAAGAAGAAAAAATTTAAATGAGTTTTACTCTCTTGACTAATATTGATATAAAGTTTCAATCTTGGTGAATGAACTTTCAATATGAGTTAGTTTTCTGGGTTTGAATCTAATCAACATTGGTTGAGCCATTTGTTTCATCAAAAGTTTTAACCTAATGGGAGATGTTTCACTGTCTATAGTGAAGAGTTGAAATCCTTTATAGTTTAGGTAAGTCTGAGGATCTTTTATTTGCATCAGATCCTCAAATCAACCTAAAGACTGGGATTAATAATAAAACAATCATGTGTACCTATAGATGGAAAATACTGAGATGCCCAAAAGAATTTTAG